GGAGACAGGGCCGGACAATGCGCAGTTGGAAAGCTCCAACTGCACTTGAAAGCCACGGAATTCTCCGTCGAACCCGAGGCCGACGAGGACAAGGATCCGATGAAGTGTGTCAGCGGCTCCAAGACCACGAAGGCGGCGAGTGCGAGTGGCGACAAGGCTACAAGTTCCACCAGCGAGATGGCCGACATCATGAAGAAGCTTGTGGGTGTGGTGCAGCAGCTCCACACCGAGGTCAAGGAGTTGAAGAGCGAGGGGAGTCGACGACCTCGCAAGCAGCCGTTCGAAGGTCACAAGGAGCGCGAGTCGCTTCAGGGCCCAAAGCGGCGTTTGACGTCGACAGAGGCTCGGAACCTGCAGGCGATTGAGGGCGCAGCAAGCTTAGGAGTTTCTTGCCGTGGAGCAATGGCGACCGTTAGAACATCGTGACCTTAGTGACAGCAAGGCTCGTCAGATATGCAGTGATTCCTGACATACTCCAAAAGATTATCGGACATAGGTAGGGACTAAGGCAGTTCACGAGGACCAGACAAAAGGTGGAAGCAGTAGCAACAGTCGTCCTCGTCGGCCACCAGGAGCTCTAAGACAGAGAGGCTTTGCTCAAGCAGAGGCATGGTGGACGATGGTATCAGACAACCATTGGGATGAAACAGCAACAGGTTTTTGGACCGACGAGGACGCGCCGCAATCGCCATCGAGATTGAGATGCCTGACAGCAACCGTGGTCTACGCGGACACGAGTGGATACTCCATTGGTGCACGCAACCGTAGAGCGATAGAGGTAAGCGAGCGCCGGCTATCAGCAGAAGACAAAGAGACATTTTGAAATGCAAAATCTGTAGAAGTTACAGCTGCCAAGGCGTTTGAGGCCATCCCTGAAGACATGAGGCCGAGCCGTGCACAGGCCATCGAAATGAGATGGACACTAACTTGGAAGGTGAAGGACGACGGAGGCGTCAAGGCGAAGGCCGGCGGTTTTGTTGGGATATCAAGATCCACAGTACGAACACCGTGCCACCACGGCAGCTGTGAGGACGAGACAGACGAGGCAAATGCAAGTACAGCTTGCGGCGATCAATGATTGGTAGCGACAGAAAGGAGACGTTTCTGGAGCGTTTTTCACAGGCCGGGAATACTCTGATCAGTCATTTTGTGTGGCTTGTGATGAGATTTGCGATGCCATGAGTTTCCCACATGGCAGTGTGGCACGCTTGAGGCGGGCCTGCTACGGCCCAGTAGACGCGCCACTTGAATTGTACAGGGCCGTATCTGACTACCTGTTGGAGTTGGGACTGGAACGTACATGGTCTGACGCTTGCGCTTGGGTTTGGCGTCCGAATGGACAACTCCGAGGTGTGATCTCAGGGCATGTAGATGACTTCATGTTCAGCGGCCGCTCCGACGTGGAGGAGCGGCAAGCCATTCTGGAAAAGATTCGACAGAGGTTTCAAAGGGGTGATTGGGAGGACGATAAGTTCGTGCAGTGTGGTGTTCAGAGGCCACCCCACAAGGTTTTGCCCTCAGTCAGCCTCGCTATGTTGAAGGTCTTCAAGAGGTTCCCATCAACTCCAACCGCCGCAAGGACCGTAAGAGCCCGACAACAGCAAAGGAGAAGAGTCAACGTTCAACTGAGGGCAGTACTGGGAGGCCTTTCATGGCATGCGCAGCAAGTTGCGCCTCATCTTTCTGCTGAGGTCAGCCTTCTTCGGTCCGAGGTTTACCGCACGCAAGGACCATCAACTGGTCATCCACTCGGCCACTGGGACTTTATGCCTGGATCAGAATCGCTGTGATGGTGGCAGTACTCAAGGGATTCTGGTGGGAACAGGACCTTTGGGTTTGCTGAATGGGCAGCTTGGTAAGATTAGCTTGGTTTCTTGGCATTCGGGCCTGCCGCTCGCCAGGAGCGGCTCAAACACAGGCGGCGGTCAATGGAGAGGATGCTTTCTATTTTGCCAGGTATCAGTAGAGTGAGCTCTTCCACGGATCAGCCGACCTTGGCGATCCGGATGGACATGTGAGCCGGGTCCCAGGCTGCGTCATTACAGACTCCCGCAATGTATAGGCTCTCAAAGCCCCAAATGTTCGCAGCCTCGCAACCTGCACCTTCATCTTGAGGCCAACATATCATGTTCCTGAGACCCAAACCTCCCCTAAGCCCCACAAACCTTCCCCAAACCCTCAGCCCTGCGCGGTGGCACGCACGGTGGATGGTAGCGCTCCCAAGATGGGAATTGGATAGTGGTCCCCCAAACATCCCCCAAGTCGTGCGAAGTCGTGATGACCTCAAGAGGGAGCACGCCAGTTTCACCTGCCACCTTGTGCCCCAAAAAAGAGGGCGCCCTTTTGCTTTTTCAGAACATCTGACTTCTCTTCCATCTCCGAGCTCAAAGGATTCAAGCCTGCAGCTTGGCGCTTCCTGGCTGGTCGCATCTGTTCATCCTCTACGATTTTCCAAGAATGTTGCTTTCGATAAAACAGTTTTAATTCACGACATGGTCCGGCCTTTCACCCAACGCACCACCCGGCTGGCGTTTCGTTACGCTTCCTTCGAACTCAACAGTTCCATATTGGAGCGTTTTTCTGCTCCCTTGATGACCAGGATAAACTATAATGTTGTCTGCTGATTAGTGTGGCGACCCCCCCCCCTCAACAAATGGACTCCGCTCTTCAGTAGTGTGGGGGGGGGGGGGGGAGGAGGTCTGGCTTTATAGGATTTTAAAAGGGGTGAGACTGTATGAAACTAAAAGGGATCCATACGATTTCAAGAGGGATGAGTTTATTTGAATTTAAAAGGGATTATATGATGTTAAAAGGGATCCACATGATTTTAAAATGGATGAGTTTATATGAATTTACAGGGGATCCATCTATCCCAACCAAGCCAGCCCGAAAAAAAAACAATATAATTCCGGGGGACAAAAAGCTTTATATTATACGGCATTCGGGCAGCTGGACTGCCCCCTTTGAAATTAGATTGCCCGGCCTCGGTACAAAAGAATTTAATAAGTAAATCTTGGTTTTGGGGCTGGCCTGGAGACTGAAGATTTCAGGGCCCGACAACCTCAGGCTTCCAGGTTTCAGGCTTTAAACCTTTGATCTTTGGTCTCTCAGGCTCAGTTCAGAAGCGATTTCTAGACAACAACGCCATTCAACAGCCTCGCCGAAATTTTGCATCGCCCGACTTTTTTTCACAATTCCGGGAAAACCCCCTCAAATAGACCCCCCGAAGAGTTTTCGGAGTTTTTTCACGATTCCGGGGGGGCACACTAATCAGGATACAACATTAAAGCCGATGTCGGCCGCGCTATTTGGGGCTCCCGCAGGCTTCTGCTCTGCTCTCTTACGCAACGGGTTGTGCGTTGGGGGGAACGTGCTGCAGCTTCCTGGCGTGGAGCACCACACTTGCCACCCAAAGCCCTGAAACCCGACGGCCAAACCATCGACTCAACGCTGAGTCTGAGGCCTCGGGCGGGCTTGGGTTCCGGAGGGCTTTATTGTCTCTTTCAAGTCTTGCAAGTAGGTCTCTGCTTGCGACCTTGTGGGGAGGTTGAGGCTTGGGGAATTTGGAGGTTCGGCTTTGGGTTCTTTGGGGTTTGGGTTTGAGTGCAGGTAGAGAGGTATCAGAGTTTAAGGTTTAGGGCGACTCAAGATCTGAACCTGTCTAGGCCCATGATGGCCCCGGCACGTAGGGCTCAGGCATTTAGGGCCAATCACAGCCTGACATTTTCATGTACCGCGAGGCTGCATGCTGGAGTCGTATACTACGGCCCTGCACTCACGTTAATTGCGCAAAGCTCTGAAAGGCCAGGTACAAAGGATCCATCTTCCGAAGACAGCTTGGAACACATACCAGTCCTAGACAAAAGAGCAGTGGACCCACCGTGTCCTAAAGGCAGTAGAACATGACAGAAGCCATCTCTCTGAGCTGTTCGATTGTATCCTGCCTTCTCGCTCCGCGACCGGTGCCATCCCCTTTCCCACAGGGTTATATGTCAGGGCATCTTGCGCTGATCTTCCATGATGCATGTTTCACATGCACCCCTGCGGGCACTACATGTCCCACATTAACAGACTGGGCTGAGCTCGCTTCACGAGATCCGCCGGCTCAAGTTGGAGTCTTCTCCAAGCTTCGCTCCCCTGAGTGCACGTCGGGGAGTGACCAGTCCACACGCAGCTCCAAAACCTTTTTTGGAACCCCTTCCCCTCGAGAATACATTTCAATACCTGGGGAAGAGGCAGGAAGCAGAAATGAATGTTGCAGGGGTCTGAGATGCTCTTTGTTTAGGATTGGGCTCGGAATGGTGGTCTGGAAAACTGTTTTCTGCAAAAAAAGACCTGGTATTCTCGAGCAGCCAGGGAATACGCGAAGGTATTCGGGGAAAGGGGGGGGGGATGATCTGGGCATCCCTTCCGGGGCAGCCAGAAATTTGCGGGAATGTATTCTGGAGGGAGGAGGGGAAAGTACTCTGCAATACTCCTTCCGGGTGTAGACATGAATATAATGACCAAAGAAGCAAATCGTACAGATCGGAATCCTCGGAACATCTGACGCGAAGCCGGGTCCGTCGACGTCTGAGCTCAGCAACAAGCCCCGAATACGTTTAATAGAGCGGCGTCTGACTCTGGCACGGTCGGCTACGTGCTGAAACGGGACGCGGCACACAGCGGTACATATAGAAGTCCACCCGCGCGCGCCTCACGAGTTCTGCGGACTCCGAGTGTCCTGAGCCGAGCAAAATCGAACATCAATATTGGAACGAAGTTCGAGGCACAGAAAAACACCGGGCCATCCAACGCCTAGCGAGATCCACATCTATCTTCATGCAGAGCAGCTCCAAACTCCCCACCTCTTCATCCCGAGTCGTCTGCTGCCTTGGCAGCTGTAGTTTCAGGTCAAACTCCGAAGCGGCTGCCATGGCGCTCCAGCACACACAAAAGTCCAGCAGCTAACAACATTAAAAACCGAGTGACTGCATTTCGCGCAGAGCCGCGAGGCGCATCTAGCCACCGAGGATGTGGTCGCCACTTCCGGTCGCACGGACGTCGCCAGGCTGGAGGAAGAGACCAGCATGCTCAAACTCTGCTGGCGATGAACATTTCAAAGCAAAACCGTCCTCGGCCCCAGCCTTGGCAGCCGCGAGCTCCTGCAACGGCTTTGCAGCTGCAAATGTGCGCTCTGTCCTGTCTCCCGTCTCCCTCACTGCGAAATCCTGCCAACGGTGCAATAACGTCCTGAGCATTCAGTTTCGTCGGATTGTTGGGGACACCTCCCCTATAACTATAACCCCCTAAGTACTCATCAGTTGGCAGGCAGAACCCAGCTGCTTCGGGCGCCGCTCCTGGGTGCCACGGGTCCGCCGGAACTGGGCCGCGCGGATGCCCCTCACCCTGGCAGCCTGCGAAGGGGCTTCGAGAGCAAATGCATTCAGCCTTCACATTTGCACCGAGGCCTCCTGGCTGGGAGCTTCGGATGGCACTTGAGGTCGGAGCCCACTGCCACCAGTCTCCTGCTCTGTGGCCCCCTTCCTCCCCAGTGTGCCTGTGCCTTTGCCTCGTGTCGAATATTCCCAGGCCCGGCGTTCCACCCAGATATCACGGCCTCGTCAGCAGCCGCAGCGCCTGACACAAAATTACACCACTAATGGGCAGCTATAGGGAGACCTAGCAGCGCGCCCTTCTTTGTGAGCGGAGCTGTCCAACCGCGAGCTCCCAATTGGCAATGCATGGTGTTGGGCCTGAAGGCGAATCCAGGCCCAGGCACCTTGCGAGGTGGACATCAAAGTTGCCCACCGCAAGGCTGCAATATACACCCAGACCAACAGCCACACTCGCCTGTAGCACAGAAGATCCATGTGCCGCTGCAGGCCCGAGAGGACGTTGTCCGCTTCCAACGCTTTGACCTACCCATGCTGCTGGTGACTATCAGACTTTGCAAAACCCGGCACTGCACTTCACTTCCAAGCAGTCCTTCAAGAGGTGAGCGGGCGACAGAGACGCGATACTGTCGATCCTCTTCGGGAGCCACGAAGCCTGACTGCGGCACCACTGAAACCTTCCCCGAAACAAACAAACCATGTTCTGATCGGCCTCACTGTCCTTTGCACATGCGGGCCATGACGCTGCTACATTTTGCCACATGCTGCCACATGCCGCCACGCTGCATCACAGATGTTGGTCGGGTACGGGATCGCTGCAAAATGCACCTCCGTCAGCTGGCCTGTTTGTCTGAGCAGCGGGCCAATCGCCTGTCATATATGACAGGGCAATATTATCAAGACCCTAGGCAGCTCCTGACTGCCGGCCTCTTGAGGGAAGTTCAGGTCGCCGGCCAGCAGAGTGGGGACGGAGCCGCAATCCTCTTTGACGAGGCCGGCGACGCAGTCGCAGAACTCCCGCCGCGCGGGACCGTAGGGCCGGCCCGGGAGGTGCCTCGATTGAGGCCCCTAAGAGGAAAATATTTAACAAGAGAACCCAACCAAGGCTTGCGGAGGCAACATCACCGTTCCACTGCCCAATGGCAAGCTGCGTGGTGATGACCCGGAGCTGGCCATCGTCGCCCGCTTCTCCCAGCCAGTGAAAGAGGGCCACGGCAACAACCTGCATGAATGAGTGCAGCAGCGACAGCTGTTCCGCAAAACGTACATGATTGCACCTTCATCCAATCACACGACCCCGAGGCCTTCTTCGGCTCGGACGCGTACGGATAGCACCGGAAGTCACGGAGCGCCAGGAAGGTCTTATCGAAGATGATTGCCTTTGCAACACACACACACACACACACACACACACACACACATGGCCCTCAGTTGTTCACATTCCACTCTCGGGATGTCTCGAGCTGCTGCTGTGGGGGTCATTGGATGGGATTGGGATGATGCGTGGAGTTGCCAGCCGAAAGAGCACCATGGCAAAGCATGCAAGTCGGCCCCCCCGCATCATTTCATCGCACCCTCTTCCCAGCCTCCTGGTTCTTCTGGCTCCTGTCCGTGCCCGTGCAGAGCATGCCATAACCTTCCGCAAGCAGCTCCGGCTCCAGCAGGTCGAGCAGCTCGGACCAGCACTCCTGGAGGCAGAGGACGGCTTTCGGATGCGACTCGTGGCACAGCATCTCCATGACGGCGTCCACGATCTCCTGTGCCCTCTGCTCGGCACTTATCTGCTGCAAGCGGGAGCCCTTGAGACCCTGCAAGTCTTCCTCGATGAACTTCATGTAGTGCCTGTTTAGGACGTTCCAGGAGCAGACGTAGAGGCTCTTGCTCGGCCGCTCCTGACCACTTCCGGTTTTCATGTTCATGGCCACCTGAGCCCCGACGGGTGGATGGTCTGAGGGAAAGTCCCACAGCGCGCGGAGGGCTCGACGATGGGGCGCTTGAAGTTCTGCGAGCTGCCGAACCAGTTGACCACCGCAAGCTCCACGCAGCCCTCCAGCACATCCTGGACTTGCTTCAATACAGCTTCCCACGCGCTCGCCGGCAAGCTCGTGACATCCTGTCTGGATCCGCTGAAGTCTTGTGAGGACATCTTCGATGCATGCGCTACCATCCATTGCCGCCTCCCGCCCGGGCCCTTCCAGCTTGAGCTGCACCTGGAGCCTTCTCAAGCTTTCACCTGGGAGCCACATGGCACACGCCGTGAACAATCTAGATTCCTTGTCTGAAGAATTCCTACAGAATGCAGGTCTGAGGCAGCGGCTCAGACATGGAATGTCGTTCAGCGCTTCTCTGTGCAAGCTTGTCCTCAGGGCCACTCACTTTCCCCACGGTTCCCCAAAGCACCCACCGGGCCTCGCCTCGACAGCATGTCCCGAAGTGTCTCCGCATGCGCGGCGACCTGCGCCAGCTGGGCCGGCCATCCTCCGAAGATCGGCTTCAGGGCCTGGAGCACAGCCAAATGCTTCTCGACGTCGATGGACCGCTGGGCCAGATACGCGCTGTGCTCCCACAGGCGTTTCGCCTGAGTGAGCTGCGAAACAATCCCGCACTCCAGCGTCACATGTGAAACTTCAACCCTGCCTGATGAATTGCTTGGCAGCGTGCCTTGAAGCTTGGGAGATAAAGACATAATCAGATACAGATAATCTAGACGTCGGGACATTCAGCCCTGTTCTGGCTTTCAGACATCATCGTGGGCACTGTGCAGAAGAGCTGCGAGCTTCATGGCTTTGGGATGTGGGCCCGAGTACTTACGCATGTCCTTCTCCACCACATGAAGGAAGTCAACCTCGGGAGTCACCGGGTGGACCAAGCTGTTGCCGGGATCGTAGCCGCATCGGATGACGTTCGTGAGCTCATAGAAGCGCGGCGCATCTTCCATGCTCCTCTCAAGAAGCCCGCACTTGACGTAACAGTCGATCTTGGCCGTCCGTCCCCCCTGCTGCTGCAAAGCATCCTCCAGCTTCACTGGCTCCGCACTCTGAAGGCACCTCTTCTCTCCTGCCATCACTTCCTTCACGGACCAGCTCAGAGACTCGCCTGGCTTCGCCGGATTCTTGCCGGCCTTTAGCGCAACCACATGCAGAGTCGTCTCAGAGCTGGCCGTGGAAGCTCCTTCGCAGAGGTCTTGGAGCAGCTTCATCAATTCTCTGATGGCGGCTCCCGCGGCTCCCTTCGGTGTCTCCCCCATCTCGTTCAGATCCGTAGCCTGCATGCTTACCGTGCTCACCACGACATACTCCTCAAGGTCCACGTCGCAGGGGTGGAGCACCTGCTGGAACCGGAAGCTGCCAGCAGGACGTGTCAGCCTCTGAAGCGAGGAGCGATCGATGGCGTCCCGCAGGCCTTGACTGAAGTCGCCGTCGAAGCGCTCTTCCAGCAACTCGGCCAGCTTGCAATGGGGGCAGGTGGCGTTGCAGTCGGCTTGGAGGCAAGGCGTGCGTCTGACGAAGCCCTCGATGTCCTTGATGCGGTCGCAATCGACACCTCGAAATACGGGGTGCTGTGTCAGGGCCTCGGTCCCGAGCACGTGCACCGACTTGCTGCTCAGGCCCATGGCTCTGCAAAGGTCCTCGACAATGTCCCGGACTGTAATGTCCGCCTGGAGCTCCTCGGCTGAACGGGCGCCTGCCTGCGTGATCACCAGACGGAGGAGCTTGTGCTGAATGCGGGGTGGTCGGAAAGAGCGAGATGCTGACCAAGGCATCCTTGTCTGTGCGGAACTCCATGCGGTTCCGGAAGATTTGGGGTGCCCCGGGCCTCAGTGTAGTCTGCCCTTCTGAGCTGTTTCGATTGCAAGCAGCCGCAGCTCTCAGCCTGCAGAGGCGTCCAGCAATCTCGGGGAAGAGGTTCGACGAGATGAAGCCAGCGACATCAAGATAGACGATCTTGCTCTCAGCAGCGCGAGGTTCCGGAATCAAGGCCGTAGGCAAACAGCACGGCACCGTAAACTCGTCTTGGACAAGCCTTCTCAGAACGAGGCCTCGCGACACCATGATCTCCAGCATGACCTTCCTCTCCAGATCGGTGATGCCTTCCCCGGCCCACAGCCTCTTGAGACTGAGGAGATCCCAAGTGATGATGCCGCTTGTCTTGAAGCGATACACCGCCTGGGTCATGCTCCTGCTGACGTCATCGATCGTGTTCTTGTACTCCTCCGCGTGTTCGAGGCCACTCTCTTCCCAGAATCGCAAGCTCATGATGGAGGGGAGGGCCACTGCCACCCTCCTGATGTTCAACACCACGCATCTCCCCAACTCATCTGTGTCGAACCAGAACAGCGTCCCCAAGGAGTGTAGAAGGCGCAGCACCCGGGGCACCTCCTCTTTGGAAATGCCGATTGGCCTCATGCCACCAAGTAACGCTTCGACTTGCTCGAGTCGCAGCGAGTGGCACTGCACCCGAACAACAATCATCAGCCCATCCTCATCATCATGATGCCCGCTCTTCCAGCTCACATGGGCGGACTCCGGGGCCACAAAGCGGTGCCCGAGCACAGCATGGGTCCCTTGCAGGTCCTTTGACAGCACGGCCGACCCCTCTACGCCGACTTGGCGAGGATGTGGCGTCAAGGTCATTCGGGTCGACCTTGAGAGCTGCCATCCTGATTTGTATAGGAAAGAGTGTGTCACTTTCAGGGCAGGGCAGTTTCAAATGGGATTCCTGGCAGAACTCTGGCCCTGATTTCACTTCAGGCCTCGATGTGGAAGAATGTGCGATCTCAGGCTTATGAATGGGACGAACCGTGACATCGCGAAGGCGCAACTTGCCACTCAACGGGCTCAATTTCGCGAAAATCTGTACTGAAACATGATGGTCTTCAAGGCTGCTCAGCCTTCCTTCACACGCTTTCGGGTGCCACAACTAGCTTTGCGCCAGCTTTGCGCACCATGGCCTGGCGACTCGACTACACCAGCCCGTACGCCGTACTCTTTGAAGCAAATTGCCTGCGAGTGGAGTATGTGGGCGGAGGGGCGAGGTGGTCCCGCGAAATATGCGGGACTATTTCCATGGACCACAGTGCTTCTGGTCAGAGCCCACAGACGATGATTCCATCGCTAAACAAAATTTGCGAGCCCAGAAAAGCCCTGTAAACCTGCAAACTCTCAACCCTAAACCCTGAGCCTAAACCCTGATCCAAGGACTCGCCCAGCTCGGAAAGCAGGTCATGCGCAAGCAACCACGCTGCTGGATGTAGCTCTGCCTGCAGTCCGACATGCGGTGGCGTGGCAGAACCTGCCGGCGCCGTTCTTTCCCATTCTGGAATGGGCGAGAGGACTTCGCTTGCGAGCCGCTGGAGACTGCTTCGCAAGGGCCCGATGTCTGCTTCTGCATTTTCGGAGAAGTTCTTGTCCCAGACTCGCTGAAGTTGGCGGCTCAGGCGGGGCAGCTGCTGAAGCAAGAGGTCGATGCGCTCCTCCATCTCTTCGTCGAAGTCTGGATGCCGACTGGCCCACTTGGTGCCGACGATCACGACTGGAGGGGCCGACTCAGAGCTCTGCGAGGATTTTGAGGCCAAGCCACCGTAGCCATCGTCAGCGTCCACCGGGTCCACCGCATACTGGGCCACCGCCCACAACCAGAACTTTAGATCCTGCCACGCCTCCTCCAAGCCACAGCTCGTGTCGCAGAAGACCACGTAGATGCCGCGGCCGTGGAAGTAGAGCAGGTTGCAGAGGACGTAGGCCTGCTGGCCGGGGAAGTCCCAGCACTGGAGTCTGGGCCGCAGCGCGGGATCTGCATCTTCGCCTTCTCCAGAAGCACGGGACTGCAAGACCAGGTCGTCCAGTATCCGCGGCCCCACGGTCTCTGGCAGGTTTTGCTTCGGCTCGGCATCGCGCTGACTTGCCTTGGCCGTCGCGCCTGAGGTCGCATCCGCGGGCTCGGACTCTTCCGGAGGCATCTCTGGGGACTCTGGGGCTGGCTGCCTTTCGACCAGCGCCTCTTGCTTGTCCGTGGAGCTTGCCGCGGCGCTCCTCCTCCTCCTCCTCAGCTCACGACGGGCAGTCTCATCGTACGTTCGCGCATCGCACTCCTTCCACTCATGCTCCTGGGCTTGTCCGGCCCAGACGTGCACACCGTGTGTGGAGACTTCGTGGTGACTTGGCTGCTCGCCCCTCAGCCGCCTTGGCACAAGGCCCGGGACATGGTATACAGATGACCTCTACCACATCAGCGACTACAGGTCTTTGCTAAGAAGCTCGAAAAGTGACAAAGTGACACTCCCCCACGGCATCACCTGCCTCATGGTGGTCGTCTTTCCGGCACGACCCCGGCCGACGAAGCAAAGGCGGACCACTGGCAGCGGCGCCTTGCCCGATTTCTGCCACTTCTCCAGCTGTTGGCGACCTTACTGTACCGCATGTGCAGGCACTGCCTTGTCCGAGCACAAGCCCTTCGTGATACATGGCCAACAAAATTATGCTACACACAGTTGAAAGCTCTCACAAACGTCCTTCCACCTGCAATTTGTTTGCCCACCCCCACACTCTCCCTTTATACCTAGGATGTTCTCGGTTCATGGAAGGGTGAAATGAAATCGCAGGTTCTCTAAAAAGGTTAACTCGAAAGCACAATTCCTAATCACCTGCTGGAGAACCACAAATGTCACCACTTTGTCAACACAATATTGAATCTGAAACGCCCCACTTTGTAAAGCTCCCAAGTTTTATCTAGACTTACTGAGGAACGATTACAAAACGAATCGGAGGAGGTCACACCTCGAATCCAATGCCGAATCAGTCAAATAGCCTCTAGAGCGAGTTTATCTTCGACAGGCGAGTGTCAGTACCGTGCTCTCGTACACCATACCTAGACGGTCCCAAAACGTAATCAAAAGCATGATCAGACATTGATCAAAGTAAGTTTCAGATTCTGTACACATCTATGTTTAAGGGCAGAATCTGCACATGCCTGATTCATAGCCCAAAAAACTACTGCAAATCTTCAGCCGAGTAGCGTTCATGGTCTTTCTGCTCCTGCTAGGCAGCATGTAGCCAAGCACACGAAACTGGTTCGCAGCTGCCTTAAAAATTATCTAATCAAGGTGGCATCCAAAACTCGCATGCTCAACACCCGGCCGCGCACGAATTTGCTTACCCAAATCAACACTCAGTTTTGGGGTCTCCAGCTCACTCACCTGTTTTTTTTCCGTGCCCCATACACTCTGGGGCTGGGCATTCTAACTCCAGGGACAGTTTGGGGTTGGGCACTTTGGGGTTGGGCGCTCCAGGGACACTCTGGGGTTGGCACTCCAGGGACACTCCAGGCACACTCTGGGGTTGGCACTCTGGGTTGGGCACTCCAGGCACACTCCAGGCACACCGGGCGAGGAGAAGAGTTGAGTTTAAAATCTAACACCCCCACGGGTGGGGAAGAACACCCGACGCTCTTTCAGACGGAAAAATGATACGGGAAAATGGTGGTTTGTTGCCATGGTTGCCATCAGATTGAGACTGCAGGTTGCGCGCGTTTTTTTCCGTGAGGTTGTGCGGAAATTGAGCCCACAAGGGGGCTTGGGGAAACAGAGCCAAGTGCAGGCGCCAGATGAACCCCGTCGTGCTTCATCGAAAAAGCAGTTTTCTGTCCAGAGTGTCCCTGGAGTACCTAACCCGGAGTGTCCCTGGAGTGCTCAACCCCAGAGTATCTCTACCCAGAGAGGGTGGGGACGCTCGAAGTCAAATAATTCAAAAAGGCATATTGAAGCTTTGGTCTTGCAATAACCTGTGCTGATGGATATGGAAAATGCGCATTTTGCCACGGTTCCGTGTATGTTCGATGTATGGTACAGTGCTCCCAAAAGAGTTGCATGTGGAACCAAGAAAGATGGAGTTGGTACCGCCAAAATTCCGCCAAAGTACCAGCCACACGTGGCAGGGAGAACATCAGGACGTAGTCCTGGGCACTCCGCGACTTGACTTGAGCCCAGAGCCCCATTTCACAATTTGTAATTTCAGTGATTTTTGTGACTTCCCACCATGATGCCCCATGACACATGCCCCATGCCAAAAAGAGCCCTCTGCATTCGGTCTGATTCCTATCGATGATCTTGAAGGGCAGGCCATAGTCACCATAGTCATATGACCACAAACTTGAAACATCTTGAAGCCCGGCAGGATCCCATCCAAATGTAGTGGCCAGACGGTGAGGCCACACCGGTATGGTACAGTTTCCGACAGACCGAATTGCTTCCCGACCCGCGGTTGCCCGACACGTGCTGCGGCGCTCGACACTGGTTTCAGACACTTCTGGCTCTGTATCCAGATGCGCGAAGCATGACAGACAGAAAAAGGTGTTCAAGAAGGGCCCGCCTGATTCCTCTTGCAGGCCTCTTCTATATCGGCTTTGGCCTGGCAAGGGATGATGGTACGGGATTCTGGGACCCAGGGTTTTTCCGGCTTTTCCGGCCGGGCTCCCCCTTTATTGCGGTACGCGACCTGTTGCAGCAATGTCTGAATCCGAAACCTACACTCTGCTGTTGCTACATCGGGTCACAAGTCTGGAAAACTGGTGTAGCTAAGCCATCTACGACCCACTCTCTCCAGGGGTGCTTTTTTTTCAGTCATGCGCGGATGGCGTATTTCCTGTGGGGTCGCCCCTCCATTTGCCACCTTTCGTCCTCAGCATTAAGTGTTAGACGAAGGCCTTGGGCTTTTCGCGTTGAAGGCTTGGGGGGATTTAGCTTCGGAGCACTCCGTAGCACTCCGGGCCTTGGTTCCCTCATCACCGATCTGGTTTTCATGAAGGCCGATAATGGTGACGCTGCCGTTCGTCTTGAGGGCCTCGGCTAAGGCCTGCGCCGAGGGGACGCAGCTGGGGAGCACTCAGGGCCTCCTTTAGGCTTGGGCCTGGCCAGGGGGAGGGCTTTTGGCTCCGGGGATTTTCGCGTCAAAGGCTTGGATGTGGCAAAGTACCCTGGCAAAGAGAGCTGCCATCCTGACGGATTCCTGGCAGAATTCCGGGCCCTGATTTCACTTCAGGCCTCGATGTGCAAGAATGTGCGATCTCAGGCTTACGCATGGGACGAACCGTGACATCGCGAAGGCGCAACTTGCCAATCAACGGGCTCAATTTCGCGAAATTCTGTTCTGAAACATGATGGTCTTCAAGGCTGCTCAGCCTTCCTTCACACGCTTTCGGGTGCCACAACTATTTTTGCGCCAGCTTTGCGCACCATGGCCTTGGGGCGCGTTCCGGGAGGCCATCGCTTCCGCTATGTCAGTTCCTGACGATGCCTTCTAAGAAGTGTGATTGTCCCTAGAGTTGTACATACGGTTGTCATCGAAGTCCCTCGACTACACCATCCCGCAAAATCCCGTACACCGTACTCTTTCTGCCATATTGCCTGCGAGTGGAGTACGTGGGCGGAGGGGCGAGGTGGTCCCGCGAAATATGCGGGACTATTTCCATGGACCACAGTGCTTCTGGTCAGAGTCAACAGACGATGATTCCATCGCTAAACAACATTTGCGAGCCCAGAAAAGCCCTGTAATCCTGCAAACTCTCAGCCCCAAACCCTGAGCCTAAACCCTGAAGCCTAAACCCGAAGCCCTCCGACGCCGTCTGACATGTCTGAAAGGAAGTTGTGGAAAAAACGCTCGGGGCTTTGGGCTTTTGGGCCCCGGACCAGGCCTTGGGCTTTGCGAGTGCTTGGGGGGACGTAACTTTGGAGCACTCCGTAGCACTCCGGGCCTTGGCTCCCTCATCACCGATCCGGTTGGAACCGAGGAAGATTTCGGTGACGCTGCCGTTCGTCTTGAGGGCCTCGGCTAAGGCCTGCGGCGAGGGGATGGTGCAGGTCCGCCAGGTCCGCAGCTGGCGGCTTTGGGGGAGCACGCAGGGCCGCCTTTATATCGGCTTGGGGCTGTTGTATGGGGCTTCCGAATCCCCAGATATTCCGGGGAGCGATCTGCTGCTGCAATCAGAATTCCAAATCTACGCCATGCCCTTGTCACAAACCTGAAAAGGGTTCTACACTCGAAGGCAATACGTCGTCTACGAAGATCAACTACAGTACGAATTAGCAGCGTTTAGCAGCACACATGAGAAGAAGGATTACAGCAATATGAAGGAGCAATACACCAACAAAACTGGTAACGCATGCGGAGGCCTGCATCATGTGGCTGCTACTTTCGAGGTTACCCTGGCAAAGAGAGCTGCCATCCTGATTTGTATAGGAAAGAGGGTGTCACTTTCAGGGCAGGGCAGTTTCAAATGGGATTCCTGGAAGTCTTCTGGCCCTGATTTCACTTCAGGCCTCGATGTGGAAGAGTGTGCGATCTCAGGCTTATGCATGGGACGAACCGTGCCATCGCGACGGCGCAACTGCCAATCAACGGGCTCAATTTCGCGTAATTCTGTTCTGAAACATGATGGTCTTCAAGGCTGCTCAGCCTTCCTTCACACGCTTTCGGGTGCCACAACTATTTTTGCGCCAGCTTTGCGCACCATGGCCTTGGGGCGCGTTCCGGGAGGCCATCGCTTCCGCTATGTCAGTTCCTGACGATGCCTTCTAAAAAGCGTGATTGTCCATACAGTTGTACATACAGTTGTCATCGAAGTCCCTCGACTACACCATCCCGTACAGCACCGTACTCTTTCTGCCAGCCTAATACCACCTTACCTATCGAGGCTTGCGGAACCTTGCTGCTCATTATAACATCACAACGCTTAGCCGCAGCCGCCTGTATCCCGCGAGCAGCCATCCTGCTCACGCCACCAGAACACCAACACCTGCGTGCAACTTCGTATGGATTCGCAGGAGTTCCGTGCGCTTTGAGGTTTCGGGCGTACTGGAAATATCCTCAGTGGACGAAACACGCCTCCAACTGCACGCGGGGGTTTGCCAAGGCTCTAATCTAGCCGATGTTCTCAGTCTCAATTCATGGCCAGGGCTGGGTTCAGGGGACCTCTGTTTCTGCGACTTGTAAGTACGAACATCTACTTCAGCAGAGGCTCTTCAAAAAAAGACGGGGAATTGCTACCGCTGTCTTGCTCAGATGCTTCATCCTGAATGTCCCTGAAACTGCAGCCCTCATCACAGTCTTTGCTGGGGCTCCAAAGCTTTACTTTGCAGCTCCGAGCAGTCAAACACCTCCCGCCTCCAGCATCCGCCACCGGGATCAGCCGAGGCAGGGTAGCATCCAAGAGGAGTTGACCCATTGTTTCAACTTCGGCGCCGCGCGCATGTACTGGTATTACGTTGCGTTGGTGGGTGAAGCCCGTCGAAGCTCAAATCTGCAGTACGCATTCAAAGCTGCCAATGAAACTTGATGATTTGCATCCTTGATCCATCGCAGCTGATGTCATGCATCCCCCACAAACTGAGTACAGCAGACCCCCAGGTGCTCAGGAAGTCGGGGCTGCAACATCTGCATACATGAATATGTAGCTGTCTCATGGTACGAGCTATGTTATAGATCAAGTGCCATCGCCCAACATGTGAAAGACAGAGCATGCATGTGACAGAGCTCTGGTCGTCGCGCAATCAGCTAGTGGGAAGAACATGGTCGTAACCGCCTTGAAAGGCGACTTCGGCCGTTGGCGAGTTGCCCAAGAGCTACGCAATCAGTGGAGATCAAGCGGCATGAGCAGCAACACCGACAAGCAGGTTTGCAGGATGATGTGAGCGATGGTGAAGAACATGCCGCAGCCGCGGAGACCCAGGATGAGGACTTGAGCGAGGTACCTTAAAGTCAAGCCCTCATGGCGGGGCAGGAGGACACCGCAGCCCAGGCCCTGGCCGCCATTCAGCAGGCCAAGCGCACCGTGCGGGTGGCCAGGACAAAGCAGCATACCATCCGCATGTCGCGGAAGTACTACGGCGATGATCCTTCAGGCAGAACTTCAGAACAGAGAATGCTTCTTTCGCACCCAATCGTGATGACAGCGAGATGACCTGCCTGAGGTGTGGAAGAATTGGGCACCGGGCCACAAAAGACCAAGGAGAAGCCCCTGATGAGCAAGCGTGATCGAGCAGAAGCTGCGGGTCTGGGATGGGGAGTCCTGGATGGCGGGGCCACACGGACTTTGGGTATGGTGGCAGCCAATGAAGCGGCGATGGCCCGCAACCGGCAGAAGAAAGGTGAAGATGGCATTGCCTGTGTGGACACCACGGATTCGTGTACAGTGGAGAGGCACAGCGCGTACTATCCAGCTCAAGTTGCAGGCAAATAGCAAGGGAGCGGGCCTCCAGGCGCACACCCTGGGCAAGAGCGGAGGGCCAATCCTCCTCAGTGTGGCCACCTTGCGGTTTGTCGGGGCCCTGCTCGACTTCGAGAATGAGTTGCTGACCCTGCGGGCCTTGGATAGTGGATGATACCCCTGCAGTCGCTCTCAGGCCACCAGCCGATTGACCTTACGGAAGATCTGTTCGAAGATGCCTACGTGACCAAGCAAGCAGTCCCCAGTTTGAAGATGTACGTAGGGGACGTAGAGTAGGGACATCTCCTCATGTCTGAACAGCCGGAGAGCACCACTCAAGAGAGCAACAACGGGTTCGAACCTAGCAAATCAAGAGATCCTTCGGAACGATGTCTGAGGGTAGATCAGTTCGTTGTCGAACGTTTGAAGACATTACTGATCCCATTTCTGAGCAGACTGTACATACCATGCAGCAGCGTGACTTCTCGAGTCGTAGCCTGCAATCGTGTAACAATCGTTGCGACTTCGTGGTGCAACATGGATCGCCTCAACAAGGCTCAGCTGAAGGGCAAGCTGCAGGAGTTCAGGGAAACTCCTCCCAGCAGCTGGACATGTCCGGAGCTGCGCCAACGACCTCGCGAGCTCAATGGAGTATACACCAGCCAGCAGAAGGAACTACATATGCTACATGTCATGTTGTCCGGAAACGAAACAGTGGCCCACTCCGAGACCAAGGCCCTGAACCACTTGCACGAGACCGTCGAGAGCCACAGCCAAGATGTGAAGATGTGGTGGGGGTTGGACGTCATGCGAACCTGACGTACTCCGAGCTCAAGACGCAGAAGCCACAGTACGTGGAGTAGCTGCAAAAGACTTGCAGGGAGACAGACGAGGTGAACCCTCGCATGCAGGCGAATCAACCGCTGGCCCCACAAAGTCGAGGAGACAGGCCCGGACAATGCGCAGGGAAAGCTCCAACTGCACTTGAAAGCCACGGCCAAATTCTCCGTCGAACCCAAGGCCGACGAGGACAAGGATCCGATGAAGCGTGTCAGCGGCTCCAAGACCACGAAGGCGGCGAGTCGGCGAGTGCGAGTGGCGACAAGGCTACAAGTTCCACCATCGAGATGGCCGACATCATGAAGAAGCTTGTGGGTGCGGTGCAGCTCCACACCGAGGTCAAGGAGTTGAAGAGCGAGGGGAGTCGACGACCTCGCAAGCCGTTCGAAGGTCACAAGGAGCACGAGTCGCTTCAGGGCCCAAAGCGGTGTTTGACGTCGACGTAGAGGATCGGGACCTGGAGGCGATTGAGGGTGCACCAAGCTTAGGCGTTTCTTGCAGTGGAGCAATGGCGTTAGAACGTCGTGACCTTAGTGACGGCAAGGCTCGTCAGATAGAGGAACCGTCTCATGCAGTGATTCCTGACATACTCCAAGAGCTTAGCGGGCGTAGCGACAATGGAGTGCAGAGGCCTGTGCTTATGGAAGTGGCGCGCGTGCCGAATAGTCCGCTCACTCAGGCAGTTCACGAGGACCAGACAAAAGGTGGAAGCAGTAGCAACAGTCGTCCTCTAACACAGGAAGGCTTTGCTCAAGCAGAGGCATGGTGGACGACGGTATCAGACAACCATTGGGATGAAACAGCAGCAGATTTTTGGACCGACGAGGAAGCGCCGCAATCGCCATCGAGATTGAGATGCCTGACAGCAACCGTGGTTGGCAGGCACTCTACGCGGACACGAGTGGATACTCCATTGGTGCACTCAAACGTGGAGCGATGGAGGTAAGCGAGCACCGGCTATCAACAGAAGACAAAGACAAATATCGAAATGCGAAATCTGTAGAAGTTATACCTGCCAAGGCGTTTGAGGCCATTGGCGCCGAATGGACAACTCCGAGGTATGATCTCGGGGCATGTAGATGACTTCGTGTTCTGCGGCCGCTCCGACGACGAGGAGTGGCAAGCCGTTCTGGAAAAGATGCGACAGAGGTTTCAAGGGGGTGACTGGGAGGACGAGAAGTTCGCCTCGCTATGTTGAAGGTCTTCAAGAGGTTCCCATCAACTCCAACCACCGCAAGGACCGTAAGAGCCCGACAACAGCAAAGGAGAAGAGTCAACGTTCAACTGAGGGCAGTACTGGGAGGCCTTGCAGCCTTTCATGGCATGCGCAACAAGTTGCGCCTCATCTTTCTGCTGAGGTCAGCCTTCTTCGGTCCGAGGTTTACCGCACGCAAGGACCATCAACTGGTGATCCACTCAGCCACTGGGATTTTATGCCTGGATCAGAATCGCTGTGATGGTGGTAGTGGTCAGGGATTCTGGTGGGAATAGGACCTTTGGGTTTGCTGAATGGGCAGCTTGGTAAGATTAGCTTGGTTTCTTGGCATTCGGGCCTGCCGCTCGCCAGGAGCGGCTCAAACACAGGCGGCGGTCAATGGAGAGGATGCTTTCTATTTTGCCAGGTATCAGTAGAGTGAGCTCTTGCACGGATCAGCCGACCTTGGCGATCCGGATGGACATGTGAGCCGGGTCCCAGGCTGCGTCATTACAGACTCCCGCAATGTGTATGACAAGCTGCAGTCCGAAGTCCTGGTCATCAAGGGAGCAGAAAAACGCTCCAATATGGAACTGTTGAGTTCGAAGGAAGCTTCACGAAACACCAGCCGGGTGGTGCGTCGGACCATGTCGTGAACTAGAACCGTTTTGTCGAAAGCAACATTCTTGGAAAATCGTAGAGGATGAACAGATGCGACCAGCCAGGAAGCGCCAAGCTGCAGGCTTGAATCCTTTGAGCTCGGAAATGGAAGAGAAGTCAGATGTTCTGAAAAAGCAAAACGGCGCCCTCTTTTTTGGGGCACAAGGTGGCAGGTGAAACTTGCGTGCTCCCTCTTGAGGTCATCACGACTTCGCACGACTTTGGGGATGTTTGGGGGATCACTATCCAATTCCCATCTTGGGAGTGCTACCATCCACCGTGGGGGTCTCAGGAACATGATATGTTGGCATCGAGATGAAGGTGCAGGTTGCGAGGCTGCGAACACTTTGGGCTTTGAGAGCCTATAAACTATAATGTTGTCTGCTGATTAGTGTGGCGACCCCCCCCCCCCCCCCTCAACAAATGGACTCCGCTCTTTAGTATGTATGGGGGGGGGGGGGGGGGGCGGGGGGAGGTCTGGCTTTATATGATTTTAAAAGGGGTGAGACTGTCTGAAACTAAAAGGGATCCATACGATTTCAAGAGGGATGAGTTTATTTGAATTTACAAGGGATTATATGATGTTAAAAGGGATCCACATGATTTTAAAATGGATGAGTTTATATGAATTTACAGGGGATCCATCTATCCCAACCAAGCCAGCCTGAAAAAAAACAATATAATTCCGGGGGACCAAAAGCTTTATATTATACGGCATTCGGGCAGCTGGACTGCCCCCTTTGAAATTTGATTGCCCGGCCTCGGTACAAAAGAATTTAATAAGTAAATCTTGGTTTTGGGGCTGGCCTGGAGACTGAAGATTTCAGGGCCCGACAACCTCAGGCTTCCAGGTTTCAGGCTTTAAGCCTTTGATCTTTGGTCTCTCAGGCTCAGTTCAGAAGCGATTTCTAGACAACAACGCCATTCAACAGCCTCGCCGAAATTTTGCATCGCCCGACGTTTTTTCACAATTCCGGGAAAACCTCCTCAAATAGACCCCCTGAAGAGTTGTTGGAGTTTTTTCACGATTCCGGGGGGGCACACTAATCAGGATACAACATTAAAGCCGGTGTCGGCCGCGCTATTTGGGGCTCCCGCAGGCTTCTGCTCTGCTCTCTTACGCAACGGGTTGCGCGTTGGGGGGAACGTGCTGCAGCTTCCTGGCGTGGAGCACCACACTTGCCACCCAAAGCCCTGAAACCCGACGGCCAAACCCTCGACTCAACGCTGAGTCTGAGGCCTCGGGCGGGCTTGGGTTCCGGAGGGCTTTATTGTCTCTTTCAAGTCTTGCAAGTAGGTCTCTGCTTGCGACCTTATGTGGAGGCTGAGGCTTGGGGAATTTGGAGGTTCGGCTTTGGGTTCTTTGGGGTTTGGGTTTGAGTGCAGGTAGAGAGGTTTAGGGCGACTCAAGATCTGAACCTGTCTAGGCCCATGATGGCCCAGGCACGTAGGGCTCAGGCATTTAGGGCCAATCACAGCCTGACATTTTCATGTACCGCGAGGCTGCATGCTGGAGTCGTATACTACGGCCCTGCACTCACATTAATTGCGCAAAGCTCTGAAAGGCCAGGTACAAAGGATTCATCTTCCGAAGACAGCTTGGAACACATACCCATCCTAGACACCAGAGCAGTGGACCCACTGTTTCCCGGTGGCGGTAGAACATGATAGAAATTATATCTCTCTGAGCAGTTCGATTGTATCCTGCCTTCTCGCTCCGCGACCGGTGCCATCCCCTTTCCCACAGGGTTATATATCAGGGCATCTTGCGCTGATCTTCCATGCTGCATGTTTCACATGCACCCCTGCGGGCACTACATGTCCCACATTAACAGACTGGGCTGAGCTCGCTTCACGAGATCTGCCGGTTCAAGTTGGAGTCTTCTCCAAGCTTCGCTCCCCTGAGTGCACGTCGGGGAGTGACCAGTCTACACGCAGCTCCAAAACCTTTTTTGGAACCCCTTCCCCTCGAGAATACATTTAAATACCTGGGGAAGAGGCAGGAAGCAGAAATGTATGTTGCAGGGGTCTGAGATGCTCTTTGTTTAGGATTGGGCTCGGAATGGTGGTCTGGAAAACTGTTTTCTGCAAAAAAAAGAAAAAAGACCTGGTATTCTCTGGGCATCCCTTCCGGGACAGCCAGAAACTGCGAGAATGTATGGAGGGAGGAGGGGAAAAGACTCTGCAATACTCCTTCCGGGTGTAGACATGAATAGGACCAAAGAAGCAAATCGCACACAACGGAACTGACATCTGACGCGAAGCTGGGTCCGTCGCTCACGAGTTCTGCGGACTCAGACTCAGAGTCTCCTGCGCCGAGCAGATCGAACATCGTGTTGGAACGAAGTTATTGGAACGAAGTTCGAGGCACAGAAAAATACCGGGCCATCCGACGCCGAGCGAGATCCACATCTGATGCATCTACCTTCATGCAGGGCAGCTCCAAGCTCCCCACCTCTTCCTCCCGAGTCGTCTGCTGCCTTGGCAGCTGTAGTTTCACCTCAAACTCCGAAGCGGCTGCCGTGGTGCTCCAGCAGACACAAAAACACCAGCAGCAAGCAACATTAAAAATCGAGGGGCTGCATGTCGCGCAGAGCCGCGAGGCGCATCCAGCCACCGAGGACGCGGTCGCCACTCCCGGCTGTCCCACGGACGTCGCCAGCCTGGCGGAACGGACCAACATGCACAGCCCGCGCTCGAACTCTGCCGAGAACGGAGACTCAAGTTAACAATGGTCCTCGGCTCCGCCCATCTTCAGGCGCGCGATCTCGGCCTTGGCAGCCGCGAGCTCCTGCAACAGCTTGAGGCTGCAAACTTCCCCTTCCTAAACTACTTATTAAATGAGTCAGCAAAACCCAAGTGAGCAGAACACGCCCTGAGACTCTCCTTTCAGGCCTATTATCGAGCAGATGGTCGTTCACTGACCTAGTTCTCGGGCTCTGGTCCTCGGCTGCGCCCTGCATCAGGCGCTTACTCTCAGCTTTCGTGGCCGCGAGCTCCTGCAAGGACCCAGCTTTTGAAGCGTTTTGAATTTCGCTGCAGTCCACCACCCAAACAGGAAAAGTGAAGCCTTGCATCCCCACGGGAAAGTCAAACCCCCCACCTCCGCTTGTTGCTGAATCCTTGCTCGCGCAGCCACGACCTGGCTCCAGGATTGCCAGGGCTGCCAGGGGCTCAGCGAGTCAGGGAGTGCCAGGTTCGAGGGTTTCGGAGTCTCTCTCTCGCAACCTGACTGCGGTGGGCGACGCGGGAGCCCCGAAGCTTGGCGGCGGGGCCTGACTGGGTGTAGACCGCAGCTAGATCCCTTGTGAGCGGAGCCATCCAGCCCGAGCCCCCCAACATGCGCCTGGTGTCCCTGGGCCTGGAGGCAAATCGAGGCCCAGGCACCTTGCGAGCGCACGTGAAACATTGCCACCACGAGGCTGCAACATGGCGCAACACAGCCACCCCCAACACGAAGGCCTATAGCGCAGAAGATCCACGACCCGCTGCAGGCCAGAGAGGACTTCGTCAGCTTCTAGTGCTCTGACCTGCCCATGCTGGTAAGCACGCAGGCCAAAGCACAGCCCCGGAGCTGTGGCCGATGTCCGGACTTTGAAAAAACTCGGCAGCGAACTTGACTTCTGAGCGGTCCTCCAAGAGGCCAGCTGGCGACAGAGACGCGATGTTGTCGATCCTCTTCGGGAGCCACGACGCCTCACCACGGCACTCCTGGTCCCTACCCCGAAACGAACAAACCATGTTCTGATCGCCCTCACTGCCCCTTGCACATGACAGCCAAGATGCTACTACATGCTGCCGTGCCACGTCGCAGATGTTGGTCGGGTACGGGATCGCTGCAAAGTGCACCTCCGTCAGCTGGCCTGTTCGTCGGAGCAGCGGGCCAATCGCCTGCCGAGCAGTGCCTTATCAAGATCCTACGGAGCTCTTGACTGCTGGCCTCTTCAGGGAAGTTCAGGTCGCCGGCCAACAGAGTGGGGACGGAGCAGCAATCCTCTTTGACGAGGCCGGCGAGGCAGTCGCAGAACTCCCGCCGCGCGGGCCCGTTGGGCCGGCCCGGGAGGTGCCTAAAGCCCTAGCAGAACCCAACCAAGGCTTGCAAAGGAAACGCTAGCGTTCCACAGACACGAAATGTCAATGGCAAGCTGCGTGGTGATGACCCGGAACTGGCCATCATCGCCCGCTTCTCCCAGCCAGCGAAAAAGAGCCACGGCAACAACCTGGATGATTGTATAGCGTTACAGCACGTTACAGCAATCACCTACCTTCTTCTTCCGTGGGGGGTGGGTTGGGATGCTGACCCGTCGCCTGAAAACGCAGGATCTATCAAGCCTGAGTATGAACTTTATCAGAACCTGGCTGAGGGGGCCTCCCCGCCCCCCTTTCCCCCGTTGTCCAACAGACCTGCCCCAAGCTGGGCCTGAAATATTTCAAAGACCTCATGCCCCCACCGCAATTTTTAAACCAAGGACTCTGCAGAATGATGCAGAATGCACATGCTGATTCAGCTTCTTCACCCAGTCATGCAAAAGGTCCGCCTTCTTCGGGTCCGACGCGTATGGGCAGCACCGGAAGTCACGGAGCTCGAGCAAACTCTTATCGAAGATGATTGCCTGTGCCACACGCACATTGGCCACAATTGTTCACGCTCCGCTCTCAGGATCTCTTGTAGTTCCTACTTTGGTGCAAGGAAAAGAACACCGCTATCGCACAGGCAGAGAAAAGGCATCGACCATGATCGAAACCCAATCATTCAATCGCACGCTCTTCCCAGCCTCCTGGTTCTTCTGGCTCCTGTCTGCACTTGTGCATTGCATGTCAAAGCCCACCGCAAGCAGCTCCTTCTCGAGCAGATTCTGGTGGGGGATGGGGGTTGGGGGTGGGGAATAGCATGGTGACCCCCCTGGAGAATCTACCTCCGAAGGGAAAGGGTTTCAGATACCTCCAAGCCTTTAATCTAGATTGTTTCAATCGCAGTGCTTTAGGAGTCACAGCATTTGGATTTGCATAGGTGACTTTCTCATTACTCTTAAAAAGAACCCGCGTGGCTTAGGAGTCACAGCAGTAGTATTTTTCGGTATTCTTTTTTCCTGCTATGTTATTCGCATTTATTCACTTTATAGATGAGTTCGTACTTCATGTCTTGGTTGGCTCCTTCTCCAGCAGGTCGAGCAGCT